TGTCTGAAGAACTCTCTGCTGTCTTCTTGGCTGGAGCCGATTTAGGAGTCACTTTACAGACGGCTGCTTTAGGTGGGAGTTTCTTCTCATCCTCAGAGCTTGAATCTGCAGAGAATCTGTGTCATTTTACTAGACCCAGACCTCCAGCCCAACCAGAAGAACAGAAATGAGGATGTGAAAGCACATCCCCAACCTGTCTTGCTTCAATGAAAACAGAAGGGCCAAAATAGTTCTCCCTACTTGATGCTCATATCCAGCCTCTTACCTAATTTGAGGGGGCAGCTGTACCCCTCCAACTCACCAGACTCATCACTGCTGTCCTCACTGCTTTCCTCAGGCTCTTTCTTCTTTGTGGGTTTCTTAGGAGGCTGAGTGGCAGAGGACTTCTTTGGGAGGGGAACAGAAGGTGGGGGGACGGAACTGTAAGGACCTATTTAAAAGAAACAACAATGGTGGCTTAAAAATATGTTCACCAATTCTTTGCTACTGTTCCTTTCTAGAGATGAAAATTTATTCCCCTTCCTTTGATTGTGGATTACAATTAGTGACTTGCTTCTAACCACAGAACATGGCAGAAGGGAGATGAGTCTGAGACTCAGTCCTAAAAAGCACTGTGATTTCTTTGTGCTCTTAGATGACTTGCTGTGACAGAAACCAGCTGCCATGTCATGGGGACACTCCAGCAGCTCATGGAGAAATGCACATAGTGATTGGAGAGGTTCTCCTGCAGTTAGATCCTGGCGACAATCACCCAGCTTGACTCTCATGTCCAGTCACCTGGTTTTTTCTTTACAGGTTTCTTCTGCTCTTCTTCCTCCTCACTGGAGGAGTCCTCACTACTTGAACTCTTTGGGGTGGGGGTGGCAGCAGCTTTCACGGGAGGCTTGGTCACGATTTGGGTTTTGGGTAAAGTCTGCATCAGAGAGAAAAGCACATCACCGCAGGAAAACTCTGAGCCAACCAGCCCTGCCAAGGAGCAGAGTCAAGAGCACTACCCTACCTCAACATCATTTCTCTGGCAAGTTACAATACAGACCTTCTTAGAGATAGTTGCTGGCTTCTCATCCTCTGAGTCATCACTGCTACTGCTGCTGCTGCTGCTGCTGCTAGCTGCTTTCCCATTAGCAACTTTAGGTGCTGCCTGAGTTCGTGTTCCTAGAGCAAGAGAAAATACGTTCTTTGCTGCAATGACCATTTCTGGTTTTTTTAGACTCTAAAACCTTGTTACCTACATAACAAAGATTAAAATAAAATTACCCAGTGTTCAAGTTCTTTTAACAACTGTCCCTACAGTCATCCAGTTCCCAACTTAACCTCTTAAGGAAACAATACCTTGTTTGGTGGGGGCTTTAGCTTGGGCTTTAGCTGCTACCGGGGTTGCCTTTGGCTTCTGATTCTTCGGTGCCTCATCCTCTGAGCTCGAATCAGACTCAGAATCAGAATCAGAGCTCTCAGCTTTCTTCGGGGGAATTTTGACTGCTTTAGCTTGGGGCTTAACTCCTTTCTGTTAGAAAACAAAGAAGGGTATCAGCAATAGCTTCTGAGTTTTCAAAGGGGCATCCTAATGCAGACAGCCTTCTAGGCCCTTTTCTTTTTTAGAAGACAATGTAATGAGTGAGAGAGAAAGCTAAGTAGAAAAGCCTAATAAAATGGGTAACAACTCTTAATGAGAAACATAGTTTAGCCACTTGTTATGACTGATCCTACTAAGAGCTTCTAAAATACAGTAACTCTCAGTGGCCTAGTGATCCAGAAAAGCAAGATGTGTTTTAATTTCTTCTAGATATCCAACTTTATCTTCATACATCCCTTTCAGACCTCAAATCTCTCAGTGTCCTCACATTTTCTGTCTCACATCTACCACCATCCCTCAGGTCATAAGAAGCCAGAAGTCAAGAATTTAGGTTCCCTCCATTCCAATGTCACAAGATATATTTTCCCTTCCCACAGTTGCAAACCTGGACAGGTTTTTTCTTTTTGTCATCCTCTTCCTCTGAATCACTGGAGTCGTCACTGCTGCTGCTCTCTGATGCTTTAGCTGCAGCCTTTCCAGGACGCTGAGGCAGATCTGCCCGCTTAGCAGCTACTGCTGAATGTTAGCACAAGACCCCGTAAATGATAGCTGCAGTACAGGCGGACCATAAAGCTTCTTCTGGAACCACTACCCCAAGTCCCTGCCTGGTCTTACCAGCTTTCTTGGCTGGAGGCACTTGGGATTCTTCCTCTTCACTGCTCTCTTCACTGCTGTCACTAGATGAAGACTTCGTCTTAGCCTTCTTAATTACTGGCCCATTTGCCTGTAACTTCCTTTTTGGGGCCTTGGTGGACCTGCTAAAGTAGATGATACTAACTACAGGGGCTTAGGACTTTCCCAAATCAAGGAACACAGCCCAGACCACCTAGGCGAGAAATTTAGCCAATGTAGAACAGGGAGAGCTTACTTGAGCCAAAAACTATAGATGTCCAAGAGGGAAGAGGCGTTGGCATCTTGATGGGTCTGCAGGAGAAAAGAGTTGGGTAAAGAAATGTTACACTGGCTTTCTAGTAAAGCTCAGATATTACATTCTTCTATTTTTATTTTTTTTTTACATTCTTCTACCTTTAAACACTACCTATTAAGTCTATAACTAAATATGGTAGAAATTGGGGGAAAGCATCCTATGTGTGTATTCCCCAATTGCGGTACCAAACTCTTAAGAATATTCCTATGGTTTGTGGCACAATCTATTTTCCACATTACTTATAATCAGCAACATATTAGAAATCATGTATTGCACTCGCTAATTAGAAAATCAGTTTCATAACATTTGTACCACTCAAAGAATGTAATCAATGTCACCGAACTGTAACAGGATTATCTTTTACTGTGTATCTTGTCAAACACAACAAAACAAGTGAAATGTGGAAAATGACAAAATCTTGCATTCTCTTTACTCTAACAAGGTATTATTTGGTAATTTATTCTTACTGGATACAAATGTGAACCAATAAGGGCATAAACATTTTTATACAGTATTTACTGCAATGCGGTTTGCACTGCCAAATCACTAGAAACAAGATGTCAAAATAAGTTGGTAAAAAAGTTAAATTTCATACATTTAATAACGTACAGATATCTACGCTGTATACCTAATTAAAAAACCCACCACCACACTACCACTGCCATTCACAGTGACCCTATAAGGCAGAGGAAACCTGCCCCAGAACCGATCCTTTCAGAAGTGGACTACCACATTTTTCTTCAAGAGCAGCTGGTAGGTTTAAAGTGCCAATCTTTCAATGAGCAATCACCTAACCACTGCATCACCAGGGCTTCTTAAAGTTCCAATTACTTCTATCCAAGCCACTGTGGAAGCATTTTCTGCAGTATCTTTAAGTCAATTAAAGAACCTTTCAAAAATCCAGTGCTTAGCGTAAAATTTAAAAAAAAAAAATAAAAAAAAAAGTCGAGTGTCAGCATTTACATTAGCTTACAGGGAGGCTGTCCCAGGCTATACTCTTTTTTTTGTTGTTGTTGTGTACCGTTGAGTCAGAAAAGACTGGCACTGGAGGAGACTGCCTCTCCTTCTCCAGTAGAGGGTGGTTTTGAATCTCGGGGTTTCGGGCTTCCAGCACAGCTTCTTGTCACTACATTCTTTTTTATGGCTGGCCTCTTAAAAAACGGATTCAGCTATAAAGAATAAGGCTACCTTCTTTGTCATATTACTATTATACATTTAAGACTCTTCTCTCCAGGGGTTTTGTCATGTCTACTTTCCACGCGATGTGGATTCCAAGCCTGTTAAGTTATGGTCTTTCGGCAAGTGACGGGAGCATTCTAAATTTTTACAACTATAGTGGATTTTACTCATTGATGCTTCCTGTACTTAGGCACTAGGATTGCCACTCTGCATACTGTCTTACTGAAACGCTCAAAAACTCTATAAAAAAGTAATATAGAGATATTTATATTGGTTAATACGTACAGAATGATTATAATATAGTATAATACTTATACTGGTAAAGCAAGCTGTTCGGGTATGAGGACCTGGTCCCAAACTTAGTTTTGCTTGATACCATAAGCCACAACTTCAAGCCCATCACTACTGTCTTCTTGGTAGGGTCAAGACACTACATTCTGAGAGCAGAACCGTGTTCCACTGTTCTTTAATAACAAAAATCTTGCTTTCATCTCTAAAGCAATTTCACTCATCAATCTCCGACACTACTCCCGGAAATCATGTGAACAAATCATCTGCCTCATCCAGAGAAAAGCCCGAAAGGAATCGCACGCCACCCTCCCCCTCAAAGCACTCCGCCAGCGCACGTGACCTAGGCCACGCGGGTCCCACGCTGAAACCGCTGCATGGCTCATCAGGGAAACAACATGGTTTTAGTACCACGTAGTTAGACCTCGAGAGGTTAACTCGAGGCTCTGGACTCTCCCCAGGCACGCTGAGAGCTCAACACAAAGGCCCAGCAGCCACACGACTGACGGACCTCAGCCTGCAAAGATCCCAATCCACAACCCTAAGCAGGTTAGGACCCCGAGTTCTGTGATTGTCCCTCCCTGGCCCGCACCACTTGCCCGTGACTCACAGCGCCTGTGGCCTTGGCGAACTTGTTGGCCACTTCTGACAGCTGGTTATCCCGCAGGAACCCGAGAATGAGGGGATAGAGGTCGCTGGGAAGCACGCGAGGCAAGCCGGCGTCCGCCATGCTCTAGGATACACACGCCACTACGGTGGCCGACGCAGCGCGACAAAGGAACCCAAAGGCGCGTGGCTAAAACGTCATCACGCCGCGCGGACGCATCCAATGAGTTAAGTTCCACAGAGCGACCCAGCTCTGCAAACTCCTTCCGGTCCTGCGCCAGTCGCCATCTTGTTGAGGGCGGAGCCACTCTGCAGAGGCGGATCCGCACGTCACAGCCACACCCTCAGCCGTGGCGGGAAAACTCTGGACTTCCCGCGCAAAGAACAATTTGGCCTTTTTATTCGGCAGTGGTTTCCCGCGCTTCAGCTGGGATTGTGATTCCAGAGTAATGAATGAGTAGACCACCTGCTCGACCTAACTTGGTCACAAGACTTCGGAACAGCCCCGACTCTCACAGGTGGACTCTCACTTTTCATCTTCACTGCCTCCACAAGGCTCAGACCCTTCCCCGCCCCAGCCTCCAAACTGCCAACTCCATGGCAGTTAAGCTGCTTATCTCCAAACTGCCCCTGAGGACTTTCCCCTGCACCTCTCCTAGACTCTCAATTATTCAGCCTTAGGTAAACTCCATGAAGGAAAAAAGGATAGTGCACCAAACCTCTGATGAATCAAAGCGATTCCATTAATCTCGTCATGAAAATAAACCTTGTTCCCTTGGAGTTAGAGCTCTCACACCTTAAACTCTGGTAAAACCATGGGATCCCTTTATCATTAATAAACCCATTCAAAGTCTAGATATGGCAAAGAAATTCACATTTCTGTTGTATTTCATCTTGGCAGACAGCAATCCATTCAAATATATATATATATATATAAAATGTTATGTGCCGTCGTTTTCGACTCAGCGACCCTTTGCACACCAGCCCTAAACCCTGGTCTATCCTGTGCCAACCGCACTGCCTCTGACACACCCATCCCGATTACCCCAGTCACTGAATCAATCCATCTCATAGAGGGTCTTCCCCTCCTGTGCCGTCCCTCCACCCTCCCAAGCATGATGTCCCTCTCCAAGGACCCGTCCTTCCTGGCAACATGTCCAAAGTATGTCAGACGAAGCCCCAGAATCCTTGCCTCCAAGGAGCAGCCTGGTTTAATCCCCTCCAAGATGAATCTGTTTGTTTTCCTGGCAGTCCATGGTACATTCAGTACTCTTCTCCAGCACCACAGCTCAAAAGCATCCACTCTCCTTCTGTCCTCCCTAGTCATTGTCCAACTCTCTGAGGCATAATAAGCGATTGCAAATACCATGGCCTGTATCAGGCGCACTTTAGTCTCCAGAGAGACACCGTTGTTCCTGAGTACCTTAGAGTTCCTAACAGCAGACTTTCCCATCGCGATACGCTTTTTGATTTCCTGACTGCTGGTGCCAAGAGTGTTGACTGTGGAGCCGAGCAAACTGAAGCTGTGAACAATCTCAATCTCTTCGCCATCCATCCTGACGCTGCCAATTGGTCCAGTGGTGAGAATCTTTGTCTTCTTGACATTGAGCCTCAGTCCATACTGAAGGCTGCAGTCCCTGACCCTCTGCAGCAAATGCATGAGGTCCTCCTCAGTTTCAGCAAGCAGGGTTGTGTCATCTGCATATATATATGTATGACTCATTTTACTACTTCCCCTTAACGCATTCCCTCAAGACCTGGTGAGTTCTTGTTGTTTAGTGACTTGCACTGCCAACCCATACAGTTCAAATCCACCAGCTGCTCCTAGAGAAAGATAAGCAGTCTCAGGAGATTTTTTGCCCTTGAAAACCTGGCTGGAAGGTTGGCTGCCTGCTATTAAATGTTCACATATGTAACCTTTGCCAGCTGTCAAATGTTAAGAAGACTTGTGCTCAAACTAAGACTGTGCATGGACAGTGTCTTGGTTTGGAGAATCTTTGTTTTCCAAGTATGGGTTTCCCTGACATTCTTGCTGGCCCAGCTGTTGGGCAGAAAAATCTACATTCTAGCGTATTTCCAGATGACACAAATGCTCTTTAGGGCATGAGCAGCACTCCCCTTGGCTAACATTTCACAGACAACTTATCGGAGGAGTCAAATTTCAAGTCTAGTTGAATTTTGCACCTGACCAAAAAAGTGTCTTGGAAACTATTACGAGTCATCAAGTATGACTTATAGGGACTCTATAAATAGATCTGAACCTTCTCCTATCCTGTGCCAACTTCACAATCTTGACATTTAAGCCCACTGCTATAGTCACTGTGTCAATCCACCTGGTTGAAAGGTGTGGGAGACACTCTCCTTTGCCATCCCCTCCATCCCTTCGCCTTTCCAAGCTCAATGTCCTTCTCCAAGAATAGCCTAGCAACATGTTCAAAGTATGCAAAACAAAGCCTCAACCCATCCTAGCTTCCGAGGAGCAATCTAGCTACATCCTTTTAAAGACATGTTTGTTCCCTGGGCAGTCCGTGGAATATTCAGTACTCTTCTCCGATACCACAACTCAAAGGCATCAATTTTTCTTCCATCATCCTTACTCATTGTCCATCTTGCAGATGCACAGATGACTGAAAAGACCATGATCTGAATCCGGTGCACCTTAGTCCTCAAACTAACATCTTTTTTTTTTCATATACTCAAATACTTTATTATTTACACAGAAAGCACGGAGAGTAGAAGCTGAGTGGGGGGAAGAGGATCTGGCTCAGTCTTTGATGATGAGCTCGTCCACCCCCCAGTCTTCGTAGCTCCCGTCGGGGAGGTAGCGGCGAATGATCATGGGGATCTTCCGGGCCTTGAGTTCCTTCATGGTGATGGCCAAAGGGTCCGTCTCCCCCTCCAGCTACACCATCACATGGGCTCGCTCGAACTTGGTCATGTACGGTGTGGTGATCCGGTTCTGGTTGGCCTGTGGCCACTCTCCAGAGGGGACTGTCTCAACGTTCTCCTGGCCCTCCTCCTCAGCAGTCTCCAACTCATCTAAGCCTTCATCTTCCTCCACATCATCAAAGTCGTCACTATCAAAGATGTCCTCATTGTCCAACATCATGTCTGCCCGGTACAGACCCGGCTCTATTAACATCTTTGCTCCTCAGTAATTTGAAGAGATCCCTGACTGCAGATTTTCCCAGTGCAATACATCTCCTGAACTACTGGTTATCGATGGCAAGTGTGTTTATTGTGAAACTTAATGGCATGGGCGTGTATTCCTGATTGTGTTGAGAGGAAAAGCGAATGTATGCAAGTAGTATCAGAAAAAAGCAATCACACTTGGAAGTTCTCTCTAGTTCATGTTTTATTAGTCTGCATAGTGACTTAGATGTTCAAACACTGGGGGAATCCCTCAGCCCCACCCATTTTACATAGGAATGCAAGTTACCTTGTTTCAATACCTGTTATAAAAAACAAAATACCCCTTTAAAAAAATCTGGTTTTACACTTTTTTTCTCTTTTTTCCATTTCTTTATAAAACAGTCCTCTCCTCACTAGCAGCTCACTCCCCTACATCAGGGAGGGGAGATGGAGGAGGTTTGGCACCTCCAAAGAAAAGGGAGAGCCCAGGGTTACCTCCTCAGGTTCTTCTGGGCCTGTTTCAACAATGTGTCAAAGTCAAGAGAATCAAATTTGCTCTTTACAGGGGCAGGGTCAAAGTCTTCCCGGTTGGAGTCTATGGAGAAAAATCAAATGTCAAGGATCAGAGGTCTCTGACTAGCACATCCCAATTTCAGGGTCCTCAAATGGCTACCCATGCTAATAATGAATAGAACAAAAGCTGCCTTAATTTTAAGTCAAAGAAAGAGAAGATTCCCATTTTTCCGTTCATCCCACTCCTTAGATTCTTATGTCAAACAAAGATAAATCTGCCTAGACCCACATTCAAAGGGCTGGGAACACTTCCAAGGAGAGGATAAGTGTGCCAAACCTCAGGCCCTTCTTACACTCACCAAGATCAGAATAGCTCCTCTTGCAGAACTGCCTGCGGCCTCCAAAGCAAAGATCAAAAGGCTGTTCGTCTGCCTGCCGCAGCTTGTGACCACTCTCAATGGCTGCAAAAGCCTCCTCAGCATAGCGGTAAGTAACAAAGCCATAGTTGTCACTGGTGGAAACAGTGAAGCAAAGGCTGGAGTGACCATCTGGGCACTATCATCACAGGGAAGTGATAGCAACCCAGGACACAAAGACAGTCTGGGATGTGGTTCTTCCCACTTCCCAAACGGCCAACCCTCTAATCATAGAAATAAAGGCATTCCACACCGAATACAGCAGACCAAGGAGAAAAGATGAAGGTAGCTAAACAGAGCAAAAAGGATATCCTGACCTTAAAACTCAAGCTTACCCTTGGACACGGAAATGGATGGTACATTCTTCAATCTCTCCAAAAACAGAGAATCTCTGTTTCAACTCCGACCGTGTCATGCGGCCAGGTATCTTCCCAATAAAGACCACCCTTCTCTCCTCCTATTTTGGGGCAAGGAAAAGAGACCCACCATGAGCAGCTATAGTAGACTCTTTGGCAACATGGCTCAAGGGAAAGCCCCTCCTCCCATGACCTGTTCCTCTACTGACTATTGCACGTTCCTTCTGCAGCACTCTCTGCCTTTGGTAATGGTCATGTGAACGGTGAGAGCTGTACCTGATAGGAGGAGAAAGTGCCATCAGCTTCCCTGATACAACACAAGACTGGGAGCTCTCAAGTGCCCACATCCCAGGTACACTGCCTCCCTAAACACATGCTCACCGCCGCCTCCTGTCACTTCGCCTGCGAGGGGATGGGGACCGGGAACGACTCCGAGAACTGGATGAGGAGGACGAGGAAGAGGAAGATGATGATGATGATGAAGAAGCAGAAGAGCATCTTCGGGAACGCCCAGAAGAACTACAACTGGACCTAGAGAATAAGGAATATGCAGGAACACTAACAGCAGTGTAGGTATATTCCACTTACCTTACCCTGGGCCCAGCCTCTGCTCTTCCCTGTCAGGAAGTGCAACACCAGAGGCAAAGTAGAGCAAAAGAATTCTATAAGACAATTTTTCTTCAAAGATGTACAAACTGACACTTTTCCTGGGATGTATCTAGAATGTTTTGGTAAAGATCATAATTACTTTCAATTGTGCCAACTAAAAATTTAAAAATATTTAGCGATCAGGAAAAAAAAGTGGGCCGGTTATTCAAAAGATGACACTGTCAGAAGTAGATGAGTCCATAGTTAGACCAAAGGAACCGCCCCAGATGCACTCTTTTTTTTAAAAAAAATTTTTTTTTTTTTATTATTTTGTGTGCATGTACCGTCAAATCAGATCTGACTGGTACAGGAGGATATTGCACCTCCTTCTCCGGCAGAGCATCTGGTGGATTCGAACCGCGTTCCTCTGGGATTGCAGTGCAGCTTCTTGCCACTAGGCCACCAGAGCTCCCCTAAAAAAATTTTTTTTATTTTATTAATTTTTTCTGCATGTACCGTCAAATTGGATCAGACCGGTACAGGAGGAGATTATTCCTCCTTCTCCAGCAGAGCATCTGGTGGATTCAAACCGTGTACCTGTGGGATTGCAGTGCAGCTTCCTGCCACTAGGCCACCAGAGCTCCCTCCAGATGCACTCTTAATAAATGATTAAGGGAAAGACCCTTTCCAGTTAACAATCAATCTATTGTTCCATGTTCCCACACACCACCAGGAAAGTGTCATAAGTGACTGTACAATATGGGAAGCAACAACAAAGCCACGGTAAAACCCTAAGAGTATCCCCAAGGCAGGTCTCAAAGAAACAAAGGACAATCTCAAACAGGGGATAGGAGCTTTGAACCCACAGCTTTTCTCCTTCAACAATCCAGGAAAGAAAACCAAAGACAGAAACAAACTTTAGTGCCTGAGTTATCAAAATGTGCAGAAGTTTTCAAAAAGAAATTACTAGAAAGGAATTGACAAAGATCCTAAAGGGAGACCTAACAGGCCACATAGAGCTCACCTTCGCCACCTCTTGTGGGGGGGGGAGAGGGACCTGGACCGAGATCGGGATGAGGAAGACGACGATGAGGATGAGGAAGATGCTTCGCTGGTCTCGCTGGACCCAGTGCTGATGGAACGGCTGCTGCGGCCCCGGCGGCCCCGTCGGCCCTGCCAGCCTCGGTCTGGGGGGCTGACTGACCTGCAGGCTTTTCGGTAACAGCGCATTGACTGCTGCTTGGCTGAGGATGCAGGGGAAGTCCTAGTGTTCGTGTCATTTCGGCAGGGTGAGGCCTCAGGAGATAGCAAGGTAGACGGGGCAAGACAAGGGGCTGGGGGATCAGCCTGCTCATTGCTAGTCCTGTGATCAAGCGGCTCCTGAGATGCAGCTATGCGTGGAGGAAGGGGATTGACTGAGCCCAAGGACAGCACAGGCTTGATAGTGATGTCCTGATGGCGTTTGACATTCCACCGGGAGCCCACCTCTGGAACGATTAAGGCAGGCATCTTTTTTGGAGGGGTCCTGCTCCGAACACAATAGTCATGGTCTCCAGAGCCCACATGAGTTGGACTAGGGCCATGGACCCTTTCTTGGAGGCAAGCTGCAGCTGGATGTTTGGCCTCTGAAACTCCTTCAGGCTTCAGGGTTCCCTCCTGGGCAGTAGACTTAGGAGATTTGGCTTTAGCCAGCGGTGAAACAGCAGGGAGGGGCTTCCATAACTGGTGCGGAGGGGTAGCTGGAGGGGTGAGCCCTGTTGGGGGAGGGAGGATGGATGAGATCCCATTCTACACTTCCAAATACTTCGCATATAGGATCCAGACATCCCCACATGATCTCAGAAGTAATGTCTCCCACTGCTCCAACTGTTCCTTTCTCTGTGTTCCCTATTACCAATCTTTTATCCTCATTCCAAACCTAGCTGGTGTGGAGGTTCTGTCTAGTCTACTCCATTCTTGGCTCTTTCCCCTCTAGCTAGTACTACCCAACTTCTGGACTGCATCTTTCCTGATCCCAGGCAATAACCTCCCAAGCTCTGGTTTCTTTTTATCCATCTACTGTCTACATTCTTATCAAGAAAGTATTTCCGAAAAATCAACCTACTAAAGCTTTTTCAGTTGCATCTAACAATGCAGAGGATAAAATCGAAAACAGATTAACAAGGCACTAAAATTCCCATTAGCACATTTGCTACATAAATTTTACCTCTCCCCACCACCTGATCAGCCACTACCTATACACTAGCCACACTAATCCATTCACAAACCTCTAGAACACACCAGGCTGTTTTTACCTCATCAGTTCACTCAAGCTGCTCCCTCTACCTAGAAAGCATTGTAGAAAGCTCTGTCTTTAACATGATACTGGTGACTTTTTTTTTTTTTTTGGTTGTGTACCATTGAATCCGATCCAACTGGCAAAGGAGGAGACTGACCCTCCACCAGCGAGTATCTAGTAGATTCAAACACCACCTTTGGGATTACAGCACAGCTTCTTGCTGCTAGGCCACCAGAGCTCCCTACTGGTGACCTTCTTAAGTCTCCGTTTGGCTGGATACTTTCTATATACCTCTTCCCTAACTCCTTCCTCCTAGCCCTACCGTGAACCAGTCTTCTGATCTTCACCATGCTCATTTGTTCACACATGGTTCCTAGATGAGCAACTCAAGGACAGCAATATCTGTATTCCAATACCTCCATACACTGAGTGCTGCTCAGGTGCTGAGCATTATCTATCTGTAAACATATGAACTACTCAAAGGCAGAGTTCCCCACCCCAGACCTACCTGCCACGTTGGCCAGTTCTGGGGCTTGTAACCGGTCTAAGGGCTTCTTCTCCTGGGGAGTGTCACAGCTGCTGATGGGGGGGAAAAGTGAAAGCCTGGTTAATTGCCTCCTCAACATCCTGTTTATCTGCTCTCTTCACCCAGCAATGGGAGAGGGATGAGTGCACAAACTGCTCCTACCCTCCAGCACAAAAGGGGTCTAAGCAATCAAACTGCAGATTAAGCCTTAACGCAGTTGAGTCTGATTCTAGAAGGCAGGCTGGCTATGACTTTGAACACGCCACAACTCCTCAAGCCAGGAGACTTGCCTACTAGCTCAAATCAACCAGAGATAATGTAGAAGGAAACATGCTTAAGAGAACAGGATGGGGTGCCATGAACATGATGAAAAAATGATCGTTTCATGCATTGGCAAACAAGGATGTCCAGGACACCTGTGTTCTCCAAAGAGGATGGTAAAACCTAGCCATGAACATCTTTCTTCCACTTCCTCTTAAATCTTCACCAATAGTGACTTACTAAATGGAAGAATGAAATCACCAAAAGTATGATTTTCCAGAAGACAATAGAAGGTACCTCAAGGGCACTTAGAACCCCAGACTGGAATGAGAGTTGAAGCATGCTGCACATCCCACCACCTTAATTAATTAATTAATTATGCTTAATTAATGCTGAGCACAACTGGGTACAAAATGGGGGAAAGCCTCCAGAGCAAACTAAATGTCCTCCCAACAGAGGCATCCAGTCAACGGTCCTGGCGCGCTGGCTGTCTGCTGACCAATAGCTGTAGGGTAACTCGCTCATCTGTCTCCATACTTACCCTGAGTTTCCTACAGCCAAGCTGTCAGCAGGAGCCGAGGGAGGGCACTCCTTTTTGGCTGCAAAGAAACCAAACCAATTAAAAGCCCAAACAGATGTGCTAGACTGAGAGGTAGAAAGGCTGGCTTAGAAACCCAAAAGAGGAAAATCCACTGTCTGCATAGCCTCTGTTAAGTCTCCCCCAGAGACCCAATCTCCTCCAGTGGGTGATGAGGTACTATTTTTAATCATGTCAATCCTTTGCTCCTCCTGTGTGAGTAACTGCCTCTGAAATCCCACCAGAGGGTCAGTTACGGGTCGGTGCCAACTCTATGGTACACAGTAATAACAACATCCATTGCTCAGAAATAGCCACACTCCTCACTGAATCTGAAATGCCAATATAAATTTTTAAGCTAAACATTCCTAGCCTCATCGTCTATTTTCTATCCTACATTTGTTTTGCCTTTTACTCTAGACACCTCTTACCAATTCCAATGACTTTTTTCCCTTCCTGTGACTGCAATCATCTTGAAAATAAGACAACTTATCCATCCTCCATCCACAATATTTAGACTTGTACCTTGTACCTCGAAAGTTGACCTATTTCCTGCCTTCCTTACAGAACACATGTTGACTCTTCTATGCTTTTACTCATGATATACACATTGTTTTTTAAATCCTACCTGTCCTGAGGTCCAGTATGAAAGCTACGTCCCTCTAGAAAAATGTCCCCAGACAGTCCCAATTCATTTGAGCTTAGATTACATTGCAAATCAATTTTATCTGCCCATTCCAATTAGGAGGTACTCTAATGGCAGAGAATGGTCCTCTCCAATGTAAGCAACTACAGGATTGAGCCCAATAGTAGTAGCAACAAAAACAAGTTAAAGTGAAGCTACTCATGTTCCTTTACCTTCTGACTTCTCGAACTGCTCCAGCAGACTGGATAGGTCTGCTGCTTCAATTCCTGTGAAGATACACAACATTGGGAATCAGACCCTAGCAAGTACACAAGTCTCAGAAAAACCAAAATCCTATTACTTCTCCCTTGATGATTCACTGCCCAGTACACGAAGCAAAACCAAGGCACTAGCACAAAGCAGGAAAGATGCAAACATTCCCAAATATAGACTGTTTACTTTGTTCTTTAGAAAACACTCCACTCAATCCTGCGCCCTTCTTCACACCACCTCAACTATTTGGTACTTACCGATCTCACTGATGAAAGCCTGTACTACATCCTCTGGGCCCTGGGTACGTGGAGTAGGCAGGAAGGACAGCTTCTTTAGACAGGCTGGGTGGACACTAGGCAGCTTGGGTCCAGTTTTCTGCCTTGGTGGGGCTACAGTCTTAGCAATAGGAGAGGACTTCTGGTGTCTGTTCTCCTGAGTCTCTGGCTTTAGTCTCTCTGACACAAGTTCAATAGCCACACCCTCAGCAATCAGCTCAGTAGGTGGGCATGGTGGAACCTTGATCTGAGGGCCTTGCTTGGGAGAAGACACTTTGTGCTTCAGACAGGGAGATTCAGGCACTGGGTTGACCTCCACCTTGGTGGGTTCTTCTATCTGTGGTGCTCCCTGGACAGCAGGCCCAAGACCGACAGAAGGAGCCATAGGCATAGAAACCATACTTTCAGGAAGGCCAGGTGGGATGCTGTTGGGTTCTAAGTTGGGTGGCGGAACTCTCTCTACAGGGGCTGGAGGTAAAGGAGGTGGAGGCACAGTAGGCCAGAAAGGAGGGTGTTGCGGCCCTGGGCCCCATCCCAAGGGCCCATACGAACAGGTGGAGCTGTAAGGTGGGACTGGAGCAGGAGGGGGTACCCAAGGCACATTACAAGTAGGGGGCATAGCATAAGTGCCAGGAGTACTAGATACCAGGGGCCCTGTTGGTGGAGGTGGCAGGCAAGGATATCCAGAAGGGGATACAGGTGGATAGCAAGGCCAGGGTGGCACAGAGGCATAATGGCTATAGGGATCAGGAGACCCTGGCCCCATAGACATTGGAAGACTAGGAGGTTGCAGAGGCGGTGGGGGCAGGCTAGGGACCCCCTGCCCACCTGGAGGCAGTGGCAACATGGGGGGTATGCCCAGCCCACCTGGAGGAAAGGGCAAAGTGGGCACTGTGGGAGGCATGGGCTTGACAGGAGACACTGTCTGCACAGGGAGTGGAGGTCTTGTAGGCAATGGCATCTCTTGGGATGGCACCTGCTCAGTGGGAGTTGAGGCTGTGGGTTTGCTTGAAGATAGCTCAGGACTAGAAGAAGCAGGGCTGGGACCTCCAGGTGCAACAGAAGCCTCAAGGGGAGTCTCATGAGGAGCTTCAGGGCTCTTCTGCAGAGCTGTCTTTTTGACTGGGGCTGGTGGAATGACAAGACAAGGGATGTCTGCCAGCCCTGTAGGGGTCTCCGGGAGACTGGGCCACTTCCCAGCTGGTGGTTGGGAACTCCTCTCTGCTGCATCTGCCTGGCGTTGCTGTCTTCGTCGACGGTACTCAGAAAGGCTGAGAGGCCGAGGTCTGGGTTCCTGGGCTGTAGCAGTAGCATTACTTTCTTCCTTCAGAGAACCGACAGCCTCGTTGACTTCAGGAATGACGGCCTTTGGGTGATCTGAGGATTCTGATTCCAAGACAAACTGGGGAGTTAGACTCCCCTGGGATGAGGATGTTGCCCCACGACGGGGATCAGTTGGCCTGGGCTTAACCAGCACAGGTTTAACTGGAGGTGGGTCACTGGGAACCGGTGCTAGGTCAACTGGTGCTGGGTTGGCTGGAACCAGGTCAAGAGGTGGCAAGTCATCTGAGATAGGAACAACCACTTTAGGGTCAAAGGCTTCCAAGTCAACCAAGACTGGATCCGTCAGCCCTGGGTCAGCTGGGAGAGGGTTAACTTCTGAGTTGGCTGAGGCAAGGTCAACCAATGCAGGGTTATCAGATGCAGAGTCAGCTACCACAGGTTCAACTGCAGTGGGATCAGATTCAACACAGTCAATTGGCATGGAGTCGGCTTCAGCAGAGCCAACCAATGAGAGAGGGGCTGGAACAGAGCTGGCTTGTACAGTGTCAACCAGCTTAGGATAGACATTCAGAGGCCCTTCTTTGTCAGGGTTAGCGTGTCCAACACCACTCTCCAAGTTCTCACAGTCAGACTTCTCCAAGGCAGCTGCCCAGCCCCGAGTCCAGGCCCTGGGCTTCCCTCTACCCTGTGGAGGCCCAAGCTCTTTTTTAATTTTCTCTTTAGGCTGCTTCTGTGAGCTGCCTGTCTGAGAGAGGGCCTCAAAAACCACATTGGACTGACCACGAGTAGATGATCTCAGTCTCCTGGTAGAGGGTTCCACACTGACTCCTGGCTGCTCTTTGTTTTTCCTTCTCCTGCCCTTTCGAGTTTTACGGGAAGCAGGTGCAGTATTGGCAGGTGGGGTCTGTGGCTCCTTAGGTATCACTGGCTCTATGACCTCCCTGGATTCCACGACTTCCCTGGGTTCCAACAAGCATGCTGAATCCAACTTTTCATCTTCTTTGGCCACAGCAGTCTCAGATTCCAGTGTGGACAGAAGCAACTGCAAGGCCTCTAATGATTCGTCCAGAAGCGCAGGCTGGGGTCCAGTAGGGATCTGCCTCACTACAACCGGGATCTCTAGGTCATCACCAGCTGTAGCTGCCTGGCCCACAACCTCCAGCACCATACAATCTTCAAGGGGGGGCAAGTCATCTGACTGCTCTGGAAGCTCAGCCTCAAGCGATGTCAGTTGAGTGAGGTCGGGCAGGCAGTATGGGTGCATGGCCCGTACTAACTCACTCAAGGAGGAAATGCTCTCATCACCAGCAGCTGGCACTGCCGTCTCTTCAACTGCTGCCTCATCTTGCTCCTCGGGACAGGCCAGATACATAGGGAAGTCTGGGATGCAACTACCAGAGTTGTCAAGCACCCCAGCAAGCACTTGGCTACTAAAGCCAGCTACCTCCTCCTCCTCTTCTCCATCACTACGTTGCTGTGGAGGAGGGGACTGGCCCCAGCGGAGTCTTGATCTTGAGGTCCTCCAGCTAGGACGCTTTGGGGAGGAGGTTTCCAAGAAATGAGATGGAGAGAAATCCCATGAATCTGTGAGAGACGGATCAACCTGCAGGAAAGAAGGAAAATCCCGGCTGTTTTCTCAAGGTAATTTTTCAGGCCTGCAGCCATATACTCATTTCTTGAGAATCTATAAGGATCCCCAGGTCTAGTTTACCACACTCACTCGGCTGTTGCCTGTGGTAGGTCCCAATGTGTCAACTGGAGTGACGAGGTCACGATCTGGGGGTGTCCGAGACAGGGTAAGCAGCTTATGGAGCTAAGAGGGGAAGAAAAATCTGAAATAAGAATTTTCTTGAGTAGACCCACAAAGTAGTACCTTTTGTATTAATCCCACATTCCCTTCCCATGGTCCCGTACTCACAGAGCTGCCTTCCCGAGGTGACACAAGCAGCTCCGAGTCAGGAATGTTGTCAAACGGAGACAAGTTCTCTGAATCGGCATTGTCCAAGATCTCAGTCAAGGCTGTGAGCAGCGACACTTCATTCTGATCCTCCAGAGATAAGATGCTCTGCTCCAGAAAGACAATGGGAGGGTCCAACCAACATGCCAAATGATCTGCTGGGCCACTGAGGTGGACTGAATGCTAAGAGAATCATGTCTCCCAGGCTCAGCTCATGTTGCCAGAAAAAAGCATCTAGGCACCAGGAAGCATGGATTCCAGCCTCATTTACAACCATTCACCACCTCTCTAGTGTTAACTGAAATTTGTCTTCTGGAACCTTCTGTCTCTGGTTCCTGGAAATAGCCCTTGGGAATGTTCAAGCAATCAAGGTTCTCCTTATTTTTCTCAAACGTCCAGACAACACTCAAAAATAAGCTGGGAGCTCCCAACTCAACACTTCCAGTAAGTGTCCAGAAGGAAAGGTGGCATAATGTAAGAGGCCTTAAAATAATCCCCTCCCCACTCAGAGAACTTTCATTTGTCAAAACTGTTAAACGAGTTCTGGTGGCCAAGTGGTAAGGAGCTATGCTGCCAACACAGAAGTATGTGATTTTAACCCAAAACAATCGCTCCACAGAACAAAGGGGAGCACAGGAGCAATCTCCTCCCAGGCAATTTACTGCCTCTAAAAACCTGCTGAAGGGTCAGGAATGAGTCACTGGTTCCAACTCCACGGTACATAACAACGTCCATATAGCTGAATATTCCCTCAGGGTGGTCAGGTAGGAAACTCCACATTGCAATTTACATAGCTGGTCACGTAGGCTCTGGTGTTTAAAAATGACTAAAGGAGGGCGCTCTGGTGGCCTAGTGGCAAGAAGCTGCACTGCAACCCGAAGGCGTGCAGTTCGAATCCACTACATTCTCCACTGGAGAAGGAGGGGTGATCTCCTTCTGTGCCAGTCGGATCCAACTCCATGGTACACAGGGGCGGGGTGGAAAAAAAGGACTAAAGGATTCCTTGACTACAATGCCATGTGAAAGTATGCATAGAAGAGTTCTCCAGCTCCATAAGGAAAACTTCTAAAAGCTAGAGAAGATCGGCTTGTCATAAAACCATCCTGAGTGCCTTGCCTATGATATGTGGTAGAGTATGTAGAGAAGTTTTGCATTCCCATCCAGACAGCTTTTGCCCTGGGAGGACCACTCATCCTGTTTTGTATTGTTTCTGCTTCTTGCTGCAAGTAATAAAATCTATTTTCCACATGTTAATGCTCTGGGAACACCTTGGGTATTCAGACACTTATTGGAAGGACACATTTCAAGAGCAACCACTATTAGTGACTGGTATCGTTTTTCTAAGGAACTCCTGTCTATTTTGAAATATGGGGCAACCCGTGAATTGTTAGAAATCCAACCCCTGCCTAACCCTCCAATAAGATGTGGGGTGTCTGTAGACAATCCTGGACTGGGCTGGGTTCAAAGACAGATATTAGAAATTTCTGGACATGTAAATCAGGAGCTGAGACCAAAAAGAAGTCATGAGCTATGATCCAAGCGTGCCAGAGCAATCTAACAGTACATATTATCTAGCAGCCTACAACCCAGCTAGTGACAAAGAAAATGTTCTTCAAGTCTTCAAGATTTCGTACCAAGGAGCCTCAATTTGGAGAAAGGAGAGCCATACCTGAAGCAACTCTAAGCATATGAGCTACAATCTTCCACACCAAGCACCTGCCTAACGCCATCTAAGCCAGCCCAACTCACCTCTCCAAGGTTCCCAAAATCCTCAATGAGAGAGATGAGTGAGGTATCCATGTAGCTGTGCTTGGTCCCCATCAGTGTTTCATCCTGCAGCAACAGCCCCTCCATTTCCAAGTCCTTGTCTCTCAGAGAGGGGCCCAAGCGAGATAGGCTGGCAAATCCAAAATCATCCCTTTCCTCATGCAGCAGCCCCTAGGGTAAAAGGAAAAAAGACTAGAGGATTAAATGAGGGTTACAGAATCTGGGCCAACCAGGCACAGCGGTCTGATATGCTCTATAAGCCAGGGACCCAGTCCATCACCAATGGGAACTAAATTCAGCAGATAGTCCCACCAAAACTAATAACATTAGGCTAGCTGGACAAAAAAAACTAAGTCATGAGTAAAAGTCCCACCAAAAGGGCAGTGTCAAGAAACTTCAGAACAGAGGAGGTTTGGATTCCATCCAGAAACTGCTGGAGCCTTGGGAGATTTAAACTGGGAAATAAAAACATCATTCAGCAAAGTATTCTGCTGGCAATGGTAAAGTAGTCTGAGAGGCACACCAAAGCAAAGGAGGCCAACAAGGTGGCAGCTTCCATTATAACCACACCTGCCTCAACTCCCATTTAGGCTACTCTTCTCTGATTAGCTCAAATTTCACCTTTCAGAAGACATCAGGATTCCCTGCCTCCCGCTATTTCTTCAAATCCCTGAATTCACTTATTTTATATACCATTCATTTTTCTAGTGATAATCTTATTCCCCTTAATCCTTAACAATCCAAGTTATCCAAAACATATCAAGTTTCTTTAGAAGAAATCAACTTTGTGTTGTGTTTTTTCCTTAAAGAATTTAAACTGTGCTTATCATTCCTGGTCACTCATGCTGTTTGACACATTTTCTTGTATACATTCATATCTGCACTTAATTCACTTTTATTCGGAAACCCCTACAATTTGTGCCACCAAATCTCTCAAAATGGAAGCCCAGGGAGCTCTGTTGGCCTAGTAATAAGGAGCTGCACTGCCAACCAGAAGGAAGGCATGCTGTTTGAATCCACCAGCTGCTCCAAGGGAGAAAGATAGGAAATCTCCTCCTCCTGTGCAATTGTACTGCCTCTGAAAACCCTCTGGAAGGTTAACTATGGTTCGCTTCTGACTCTAGGGTACACAGATCAAGGCCCACTCCTAACTTCTACCAGGTAAAAGCAAAATAAGGCAAAAAAAGAAAGAAAAGAAAGCAAGGCTGATTCTGCAGATGGAAAGGCCCCACCCCACGCTCCCGAGAACTAATATCTTCAGCCTTGTTAAGCAAGGAGCCGCCCAGACCTGTCATGAGTGTGGGTGTGGGTAGGGCCAGAAGTGGCTGGAATGGGGCTACTGAGGCCAAAACTATGGGTACCTCCACCATAGGAAACAGATGGATGCAAATGTCCCAGAACAGGAACAAACACAGGCCAGCTCTCCACTACCTTCTATAGCAAAGGGAAACAAATTCCTTTCAAGAAAAAAAAGCAACAGGTGTGACCACATATACCCAAGCCAACTCATACACGCATATTCTCCTTACAAAAACAACCATCACCAAAAACTAATTGAAGAGTTCTGATATTCAGGGAGAGTTGGAATAGGGACACTTAAGAGACCAGATCTAGAGATGAAGAGAAAAGGTGGCAGATTTTAGGCACTTACCCCTCCCAGGTCTTCACAATCCTGTAATTAAACCACCAAGTGAATAGCACCTGGCTTAGCAAACCATCCTATGTGAAAAAAGGAAGCCAAAGGTCCATTTTGTCCTGTTGCCTACCTATCAAAGACCCAGCCAACAGTCTGGCATCTCAAGACAACAATGTTCAACTCAAGGAAGCACTCAACTCCACCACCAAGCACATGCTAAAGACCCTCCCCATCTCAGTTCCCACACAGCAAAGCTCTCCCAAGTACCAAAATCATCTTGCAGCTAAACCCAAGGCAGAAGTGGGGTAAAAGAGAGGCCAGCCACCAACACCTTTAATGTCAACAATCTCCCTATTGGCCTTCCCATACCCAATTTTGTTACTCCAGAGTTCCGAGAGAGCTCTGGTGACCTAGTGGTAAGGAACTACACTGCCAACCCACAAACACGGTTCGAATCTGCTAGCAGCTAAGTGGCAGAAAGATGGACAATCTCTTTCTGTGCAATTTATTGCATCTGAACACCTTCTAGAGGGCCAAGTATGAGTCGATTCTGACTCACCAGTACATAACCATAACAACAACAACAACAGAGTTACAATCGAGCCAGAAACTTTATCTGGTCACTTTCCTAAAATGCTCCCTGAATGCTTTCAAGAGATCCTACATAATTGCTTTTAGGATTAAGTTTAAGCCCTTAAAATATGACCAAATGAGGTTTCTCCACCAGGCTCTTCTACTCTAGCATGCCTTCTCAACAAGTTCTAGATCTCAAATGAAAATATTCCTTTCCAGAATCTGCAACCCATTATGTATTAACAAATGTGTACTATTTGTTTACCATTTATCTATCCTGAAAGAAACAAAAACCCTGGAGGGCAGAAACCACCTTGGTGTCATTCACCACCATACTCCTTGCGCCTGGCAACAGACTAGACTGACTACCTAGTTCAAACACATCAGTCTGTTCAGGGAGTCTCTACTTCAACATCCCAAATGGCAGACTTAACTTTTATTACAATGGGATCTTGGGTCCCTCTTGTACCTTCAGTAGGTGGGAACACCAGCCAAACAAGGTTGCCTCTGGGAAAGTGGAGGATGGATCAAGGTGGGGCCTGAATTAGAGGATTTACTGACTTTGACATTAGGTGATAGCCTGTAATCCAACAGTCAAGGACTCAGTTTATTTGATTACAACAATCAACAACACAAAACCATTGCTGCCCCTACCCACTTTAAGCAGTAACTTTTAAGAAGCCCTCTCCTGAGGAAGAGAAGTGCTGTGTTGTCTTTTTTTTTTTAAAAAAAAAAGTATTTTAAGATTATTTTTCACTTCACCGAAGACGACATGGCTAACAAGCACATGAAGAAATGCTCAAAATCCCTAGCCCTAAGAGAGATGCAAATTAAAACAACTATGAGATATCATCTCACCCCAGTCAAAATAGCAAAATTTAACAGAACATCAAGCAACAAATGCTGGCGAGGTTGTGGAGAAGCTGGAACCCTGATTCACTGTTGGTGGGAGTGTAAAATGGTGCAACCCCTGTGGAAAGCAGTATGGCGCTTTCTCCAAAAGTTGCAAATAGAGATACCATTTGACCCAGCAATTCCACTACTGGGAATATACCCTGAAGAGACCACAGCTGACATCCAAGCAGATATATGCACACCCATGTTTATTGCAGCTTTGTTCACAATAGCAAGGAGTTGGAAACAACCTAAGTGCCCATCAACAAACGAATGGCTAGAGAAGCTGTGGTATATTCGCACAATGGAATACTATGCTGCATTAAAAAACAAGGAACTCATGCAGTATTACTCAAAATGGTTGACTCTGGAGAACATTATGCTGAGTGAAATATCCCGGTCACAAAAGGACAAATATTACATGATGCCACTGTTGTAGAATGGGACTGTCCTTGGGGTTGGGGAGAGACTGAGTAAGATGGGTTCAATAATGTATACTGCACTGAAACAGAGGAGGGAGAAAACTGTTTAAAAGAGATATATGACTAGGTACTTCTGTCATCACAGGAGTCTAGAGCGAGGGCTACATGGTGGAGGGGACCTGGGGGAGGGTTTGTAAAACAATGAAAGAATCCTTTCTTTTACTTTTCCATAATTTTTGACTCATGTACTTATAACTTGTTAGTCAAATTTGTGTCTTCTAGGTTGCAACACCCCCATGATACATCTTCAAGCATATGAACATGTACGGCCAAGCACAATCAATACGAGTGCATCTAAATTCCCAAATCAATCTCCATAATAGTCTATGTGTTTCCTACTGCCAAAGGGGCCCTTTAGAGTAGTGAGAGAAGATCTTCACCCTGAAACCCACAGTGTCCCTTTTCAGCAGGAAGTAGCTAAGAGAATAGCCATCCCCTTTTCCTTATGAATCAGGGTGAAGTCTCTCTCAGGGAGGAGTGATAGGGAACGGCAAAGGACACACCGACAAAGGAGATTAATCAGAACTGACTTTGACAAGCACTGTGGCAATTGGACAATTAAAACAGACATTCAGATCGAAGGGAAGAAGAACAAACTGGGGAGGAGGGTGGAGAGAATGGTGCGACAATGAAGGAGTGAAAGCCCAGAATCCCTGTGAATGTTCATTGAAACTAATAAAATTTAATAATAATTAAAAAAAAGATTATTTTTAAAATAATCTGGCAGGAGAAATTCCTCCTATCCAATAGCAAACGAATACCAAATAGTTCTCAAACTGCCTCCAACTTTTATCTCCAGCAAAAATGCCAGAAAGCCTTAAACACAGCCTACTATCCCAGTAGCTGTGTGTCAGGTCACTGGAGCAGGACTTGGCAGCTGCCTTCTCCAAAGAGATGCTGAAGGAATAACTGAGCGGGGAGAAAAAGATTCCCTTTCCTTTACTAAAACCTGTTCCATTTATACGTTGACACTCCCCATTTGCCTTGAATCACGAAATGAGGCAGTACTGCAGGAAACCCAAAGGCCTGTGCCCATGACTCACAAGCCACCCCAAAGCCGGTCAGACAGAAGCTGCCACAAGCTCACTCCCCCATTCCCCTCAGTCTCAGCCCTGTAACCTCCCCAACACACGCCGCCATCCACAGGGAACTGACTTCCAGGACATATGGAGAGTCCTCCACCATCCGCTGTCGAGGGTGAATACAGATCAAAGCAAAAAGGGGTAAAAAATCCTCCAAAACTCCGACAAAGTTGACTCCAGCCAGCCGCCCCCAGCCCGGACCGGAGATGGCGGGACCGACTGGGACACACCCAGTTCCCGGCAGTGCGGCGGCTCCGAGGCAGATAGGAGAAGCCGGGGAGCCTGGGGTGGGAGCCACGTGGACATCCCTTCCCCGCCCCCACGTGGACCCGCGGCCCCCCTATCTGTAGCCCAACCCATGTGAGTGTCGGGGCCCCCTAGAGGGGGAGGGGAAACAGACAAGTTCTCCCGGGAAAAATCAGTCCCCGCACCCCCACGTGGCTCCAAAAAGGCAACTGCGGCGCGGCGTTACCGGCGCACCAGTCGGCATCTTGAGAAGGTCTTAGCCTTCTGCGCCAAGTCCCAGCCCCCTGGTCCCCCCACCTCCAGCGCGGCCCATAATGTCCCCAACATCAGGCTCCGCACCTCCGACGACCCCTAAGAATGGCTGGAGAGACCCGACTCCTCCCTACAAATGGCCCAGGTCCACTCGGCCCAACCTGGCTCCCACGGCCACCCGGCATCGATTCTATAGCGCTTCCTCCCTTTCCTGTGGCGTCCACGTGTCACCGCCCGGCACACGCCGCTCTGCTGCCAGCCGCGGGCGGCCCGCCAGCCTCTCACCTGCTCCCCGCCACACACAGAGCCTACGGTCCCATACGACGCTTGGCTCCGACTTCCCCAACTACTGCTGCGGACTCCACCGCCGGGTCCCGGCCCGGGGCCCCCTCCAGGAGGCGGCGCGACTGCTTCTGTCTGGCCCAAGCACGCCGCCATCTTGGCCCCTAAACACCCAGCGCTGCTTTGCTTGCCGGCGCTGCTTTGCTTGCCGGCTCCGCCTCGCCCAGCCGATTGTGGGAAGTGAACTACAATTCCCGAATGACACTGTGGAACTACGAATCCCAGAAGATTGTGCGGCGCAGCCCGCTTGCTCTCTAGAAGAGGGCGTGGACCTCGCGCGAGGGGTCCTGGGAATCGTAGTCCCTCTGAGGCTGAGGCAGAAGGGCAAGTGCCCTTGGCAAACTAAAATGCGTAGTGCTATGCTGCGCGGGGAGGACGACATGGGGAGCGCGCAGGATCGAGAATATAGTTAACATTTACATATCTTTATTATTATTTTTTTAAATTTTCCAACTCGTCCTCTTTGAACGTTCCACCTGCTATACACTTCGACCTTAGTCAAAGTGGAGCCATACCGTTGGAGCAGTACCCCCTGGTGGACGCTCGCACTTCCAGGCGCTAACTCGCCTAATCTTACACTGCGGCAACTGCTAGCTTAAAATTTTCACACACTTCCTTTTCCACGTCTCTCGGCTGATGGTCAGCAACCTACACTGATTGCCTCATCAATTATCAAATCTATTTCCTGCAGCTACAGATTTATTCATTATCTCCAATGATAACAGGTGTTCTCTTGTCTTTGTTTTTCCGCCTAAAATATTCGAACCATTTTTGATGACATTTATCCAGGAATTCTAATCATCCCAGGCAATCTTGATCCCTCTCTCTATCTCTACAGTCCATCATTGTCTCTATTATTCATTCATTTAGTCGTTCGCTTGGAAGTACTTGCACACCATTTTCCTAGTTTTTTAAAAAACAAAACACTTTTTAAAACATAAGTTTAGACTTGGGCGCGCCGCACACACGCGCGCTGCTGCCTTCTCTGACCCTTGACCCGACGGCCGCCCTTGAGCCGGCCCGAGGGGCCTCGGAAGCCGGAGCTCCCTTCCTGTGGCAGGGTTGCCACCATGGCCAAGTACCTGGCCCAGATTATTGTGATGGGCGTGCAGGTGGTGGGCA